GCACTCGGCGCCTGGTCTGGAAATGTCATGCCCCTTACCATAGCCGCCTGTGAGCTTCAGTGTAAATATTGTGTCAAAATCAAATCAATTTGAGCGCGATTTAAACTCGGATGATTGTAACCACTCTAAGTTCGTCTGCCTTGGGAAAGCTAGTGTGTCTACGACATAGTGATAACAATTGTTGCCTTCTCTAGTGCAGCTCAACCAGGTCTCGTCCCTTTCGTCACAAATCCCGGAAAATATGCGTTGTAGTCCAAACGAGTCGTTCGTTGTAGTTTTTGAAAAGTGATTTCTGTTAAATAAAATATCTCCTTTTGAAGTGGACTTTGAGCTTTGTAACTTTGCAGATCTTTTTTATGCTGAAAGAGGTTCTTGTTTGTACTTGGTTTTATCCATCAAAGAGGAGATGTTGTTGGTAAGTTTATGTTTTTGATTGCAGGGGCACATGAATTAGAAAAAAATATGTGATAAATCACTTATAATAAACATAAAATAAGAATTGATTTCATGGTGACTTTAAAGGGGTCATGAAATGCCTTTTCAGATTTTTATATGATGTTTTTTCGAGATTAATTTATAAAGTTTATTGCACCAAAAAGGTCCAATATTTGTAAAAATTTAAATTTTCCTCCCTCACTGGACTGATTTTATTAGCAACACTCAAACTGTGATATGCTGGGTGTCTTAATAGCGTTAAATGCTGGTTTGACATTTATTACAAACACACTGTAAGATCAAAAATAAATGTACTCCAAGAACAAAATGCTTGGCACTGCCGCATCTTTCAATAAAAGATGTTGTTTTGTGGCATGTTTAGAATAAGTCACAAAAGAGTCTGTTGTGAAATGTGAAGAACAAATGAAAATTCCGCTCGCTCGAACAAATGACAGCTCGCTCAGTCATGTCATTAAAAAGAAACTTCAGCCATGCATTTCTAATGCTTAGGTCTTCAGGAAGGCTGTGCAGAATTGTAGGAGGTGCAGTTTCTTTACATCCACTGACAGAACAACGTCTGAGTTTGACGGTCTTACTCAACAGCTTTATCCAACAGCATATCGCTCTTGTGATTGATGGACAGACATTATTGTTCAGAACACATCTCCTTGATTACATACAACGATGACGCATGTTAATGGGCATGTCAAGGAGAATGGTGACTTCACAATTCTCCCAATCCTGCTTTTTCAGAAGGGTAGAATAGAATAATTCATATTTAAAATAAACTGGAGAGTTAGTTTTGAGTTCTTAAACTTGCATTATCTTTTTAGGTTACACTTTATTTCGATAGTCCACTTTAAACATTAAACTAACTTTAAAGGAACACTCCGCTATTTTTGAAAATAGGCTAATTTTGCTACTCCCCTAGAGTTAAACAGTTGAGTTTTACCGTTTTCGAATCCATTCAGCCGAACTCTGGGTCTGGCGGTAGCACTTTTAGCTGTAGCTTAGCATAGATAATTGAATCTGATTAGACCGTTAGCATATCGCTCAAAAATTACCAAAGAGTTTCTATATTTTTCCTATTTAAAACTTGACTGTTCTGTAGTTACATCGTGTACTTAGACCGATGGAAAATGAAAAGTTGTGATTTTCTAGGCCGATATGGCTAGAAACTATACTCTCATTCCGGTGTAATAATCAAGGAACTTTGCTGCCGTACCATGGGTGCAGCAAATATGCCTGGGTTATTACCATATAATATTACCAGTAATATTACCAAATATTACCAGGGTTAGCGATATGCTAACGGTCTAATTAGATTCAATGATCTATGCTAAGCTACAGCTAAAAGTGCTACCACCAGACACGCAGATCGGCTGAATGGATTCGAAAACGGTAAAACTCAACTGTTTAACTCTAGGGGAGTTGGAAAATTAGCCTATTTTCAAAAATAGTGGAGTGTTCCTTTAAGTAACTTTGCAACTACGTCAGCTAACTCTCATTAGAGCATTTGTAGACTGTTAAGTTAGGGTTAGTAGATTAAGTTGCAGTACTTGCAAAGTTACTTATAGTCAGTAGAATATCTGTTGAGCGACCATCAAAATAAAGTGTTAGTAGATATTAAGCAGACAGTCTACTAATACTCTAATGACTGCTAGTTGACATTTAGTTGCAAAGTTATTTATAGGTAGTTGAATGTCTAAAGTGGACTATTAAAATAAAGTGTTACCTGTTTTTATTGTAGAGTAACCGCTCTTATATATGTAAATATCAAGAACATTTGATTCTCCATTGCATGACCCCTTTAAAAAACATTTATATTGTGTGAGAAAAATATTAAGTGTGAAATAAAAATGACCAAAAATAATAGTTGGCTTACACAATATCTACTCCAGCTGTTACAAAACTAGTTCTGAATCAAATAATCACAATTAATCTCATGATAAAATAGCAATATAATAAAATAGTAATAAATTAAAATTAGGTGATTTTGTGAAAGATAATATTTCTTTAATATGTACAGTGGGGCAAAAAAGTATTTAGTCAGCCACCAATTGTGCAAGTTCTCCCACTTAAAGTACACAGACTGAATTTACATAAAAATTTCCTCTAATTTCTCTTAAATTTTTGCGAACCCCTTAGGCACCACTTGCAGCGCCCAGTAGGCTTGCTGCGATAGATGGTGTTTTCGGTTATACCGGTGTTAAGCCGCAACACCGGTTACGTCATTTGCCTACCGCGGCACCGCCCCCCACCGTGGGGGTGGAAATATCATGCTTTGGGGCTGTTTTTCTGCAAAGGGACCAGGACGACTGATCTGTGTAAACGAAAGAATGAATGGGGCCATGTATCGTGAGATTTTGAGTGAAAACCTCCTTCCATCAGCAGGGGCATTGAAGATGAAATGTGGCTGGGTCTTTCAGCATGACAATGATCCCAAACACACCGCCCGGGCAATGAAGGAGTGGCTTCGTAAGAAGCATTTCAAGGTCCTGGAGTGGCCTAGCCAGTCTCCAGATCTCAACCCCATAGAAAATCTTTGGAGGGAGTTGAAAATCCGTGTTGCCCAGCGACATCCCCAAAACATTACTGCTCTATATGAGATCTGCATGGAGGAATGGGCCAAAATACCAGCAACAGTGTGTGACAACCTTGTGAAGACTTACAGAAAACGTTTGACCTCTGTCATTGCCACCAAAGGGTATATAACAAAGTATTGAGATGCAATTTTGTTATTGACCAAATACTTATTTTCCACCATAATTTGCAAATAAATTCTTTAAAAATCCTACAATGTGATTTTCTGGATTTTTTTTTCTCATTTTGTCTCTCATAGTTGAGGTATACCTATGATGAAAATTACAGGCCTCTCTCATCTTTTTAAGTGGGAGAACTTGCACAATTGGTGGCTGACTAAATACTTTTTTTCCCCACTGTATATGTGAGTACACAGACTGAATTTACATAAAAATTTCCTCTAATTTCTCTTAAATTTTTGCGAACCCCTTAGGCACCACTTGCAGCGCCCAGTAGGCTTGCTGCGATAGATGGTGTTTTCGGTTATACCGGTGTTAAGCCGCAACACCGGTTACGTCATTTGCCTACCGCGGCACCGCCCCCCACCGCCGTTTTGATTTTTTTATAGTAAAAAAAATAATTTATCCTAGTTCAGTTCGAGGACAGATACTTTTAAAAACTAAACGCTCAATGCAGTGTGCCGAACCGTGCGCGAACGGAGCAGGAGTCAGAATTTATTTATCAGGTGAGGAGAGTGAGTCGAGCTGACTGACAAGAGTGAGGTGAGAAAGACAAGACGATGGCAGAAGATTGTTTAGAAAGGAAATGCAAAGGCACCCGTTTGGCAATATTTTCGATTTTGAAAAGCCTATTGAATGGAAGTTTTTTTTTTTTAACATTCGTTTCTTATTTATTTGGTTCCACAGTATTTGCTGATTACTTTATTTAAACTTTGTGTATTTTATTTTACATCAAGGTGTACATACCGTGCCTCCAAGCTTTCTTATTCGTTTTGCTAATAAACGTTCTATGTTTCTTATTTATTTGGTTCCACAGTGTTTGCTGATTTTCAGTTTTATATACCTATTTTAACTAAGTGTAGCCTAAGTAATTTGTTATTTTATTAGGCATAGGCCTATATGCTGTATTTTTATTCGTTTTGTTAATAAAAGTTCTGAGTGTGACATTGTTGTTGCTCGAATTGAATCAACGCTGAATTGCCCCTAATATGAAAGTGAAAGTAAAATGCGCACGGCACTTTTTCAAGCTATTTGAAAGCCAAGAAATCCGAGGAAAATAGGGAAAACTCAAACGAACAATTGCTTGCCGCTAATTTGAAAGTGAAAGTAAAATTCGCACGGCACTTTTACAAGCCATTTGAAAGCGAAGAAAAGAGGGAAACTCAAACGAACTAACCCCCCCCCCCCAACGGTGATACCGGTATTACCGGTGTTATCACTCGTCGATTAACCAGTGGGAAAATTTCCTCACCGTCACAACCCTAGCGCCCAGACACTAATTTTGCGCCATTACCAAATTTGCATAATTCCTTCAGTGAATTAGAATGCAGATGGTGTATGGAAATACATGACCCTATTAGCAGACACAATTCTTAGAGAATTCCTCTTCCAGAATGAGGCAGAGAGTGTGATGTATTCATCTCGCTGTAAATCATCTGCAGGATTTTTAAGTCCCTCTGAATGTGTGGGTTTCTTCAGGTCAATTATGGATGCAAATTGCATCAATTATTTATATCTTTTGTCGTATTAAATCATTTTTCATTCACGTTGAAAGAAAGGTTGGGCTGCGATGGAGAGTTGTGCTGTGGCTTAGTGCCTTTGCTCTATCTACAGTTATGTGAGATTGACTCATCTCTTACTTATTTTGACTCATATTGAATATCATTTAGCATTATCAGAAAAAGATAGTCAATACGGTGGGTTAAAAAGTCACTGAGTAGCTTTTGTTCACAAATATTTAATCTGTTATTTTATAAGTGCATTTTGTTCATGTGATATTGATTGGCTGAGACATTGATGGTATGTAAATAGGAAAGAGTGTTATTATTAGGTAGAGAGAAATGCACCTCAGTCTGCAGTCTTTGTCAGTGTTGTTATTGTGTTGTTACAACGAAATGTTAAATGGAAATAAAGATGAAATAAAATAAAATTCAAATATTAGAAGAAAAACTTAAACTTAAGAAACTTAAAATTAAAAGAACTTAAAAAAAAATTAGAAATGTTGCCTTGGCAATTATCTGAAATAAAGTAAGTTTAAGTTAAGAAATAAAAATACATTTATTTAAAAATGTATCAAAAAATAATTAAAATGACAAAAGACTTAACAAAATTAAGTGAAAAAACTAAATTAAATTAAAATGAAAACTTAAAATACTAAAATAAAAGCTGTTTTATTCATATTCAAAATATGAGTACTATAATATTATATAAATAATACTAAAATATCACTGGTCTTGATGTGTATCAAATACATTTACACCAAAGAAACTGGCAAAGTTAAGCATATAATATACATATTATTTTGTTTTCTTTTTGTAAGGAAATTAATGTTAAAGTCATTTATTTTAATTAATTAAAATGTAATACTATCTAATTCATATTTAATACATTCATATTTAAATTAAGTAATGAAATTATATAAATATATATAAAATGAAAAAATATATATAAATGCAAAAATGTAATCATTTTAATCTTATGACAGGGCTAATATTTTTTATTTTAAAGTCATAATTTGTGTTTGGTATAATAGGTTTAAGAAAGCAAAACAATCTTTCAAAGTTTCCCCGGGAACCTGCTCAAGTACTTGTACCCCTGGTTGAGAATTACTGCTGTAGAAAGAGGGAACAGGTATAAGAGAAAAGAGAATCAGGGAGAAAGAGAGGCAGATTAAGAAAGACAGACAAGGCAGACACACAGCGATGTTCATGAGCGGTACAGCTCCCTCAGGGCTTTAATGTAGTCACTCCTCCTCACTGCCAAGCAGAATCACCCTGGCAGGCTTAAAAAGCTTCATCTGAAGACTCAGACAGTGGGAGCTGGAAACTCTTGCTGAATATAAACACGCACGCACACACACACACACACACACACACACACACACACACACACAATCAAGAGCAGGAGAGACAGGCAAAAGAACTCCAGATAGTCTTTAAATTGTTCAATTTAAATTGATTAAATTGTTGGTGGAATTGTGTCTCTTGGACAATTCAAAGGCCTGGATGAGCGTAGCTTCAAACAGCGCAAAAATCTTTTTCATTGAGCTCCAAATAGAAGTTTCTTACATAGAGATTTAAAAACATCATCCACCTCAACTCACCCTCTGCTCTTCAAAGTTTCAAACAGTGTTGAAGAGAAGTTAAAAGTAGCAACAGTAGCATGACAGTAACTCAAGATGTTTTCATAATAATGTAGCTTTTCCATTAATGAGCTATTATTTCCAAGGAGTAGTGTAGCATGACAAAATGCTACATTTGCCATGTTTATGACACACATTGAATTAGACATGGAGCCAAGTGAGCTGATCCTGTCAGGCAAAAAAACTTCTTAAGTGCTAATAAATAGCCTTCTGTTATCTCTACTTAATAGTAGTTAATACAGTATTCTGACCCTTTCATTTAGAAAAGGCTGCTGCTTTCCCAGTTATTTTCCTATAATTAGCATTCAAGAATCTACAATATATTAATGTAGTAAACAATAAAATAAAAGTGATGGGATTCACTTTTAATGCTACATGAATTTTAATTAATGTTTACTAGGGATGCACGATATATCGGCCACCATATCGGTATCGGCCTATAAATGCTAATTTTTTCTGTTATCGGTATCGGCCTGATAAGAAAATTTGGCCGATATCTTAAAGCCGATAAATAATGCATTATTTCCTTCAGAGACACTTCAGATGCGCGCTGTTCGTTTGCAGCCTTTTGTGCAATTGTACATTGTAATATTGTGTTTATTTGATGTATATCTGATGTATCTCATATAGAATGCGTTTGGTAAAGTTAAAAGAGCGCTTCAGTTTACCAGTGATAAAGAATAATCGGTTATCGGTATCGGGCAAAATTTTCATATCGGTGCATCCCTAATGTTTACTATGTCTGACTATATAAATATTAAGAAATGGCTAAGTTTTTACACACTATGATCAGTCTGTTGGAGATTGTTGGATCAGTGGATCAGACCCCTGTTGGCGTTGGTTGGAGTTTGTTTTCACCCGACTGAACATGCCTAATCGGCGTTTGTTGGGTCGTGGAATGTCTGAGCAGTGTGAAATTATTTTCCAACAAACGACAACAAACTCTGATGTAATCTGATGTGGCCACGAACCGTTGCCATAATGATGAGCATATTTCACTCAAAGCGAGCTTCAACCACTTTCGTTTTATTCGCCGTCTTTCAGGCGAAGAATGACACGCAAAGACATTAATAACAGTAACATTTTGATTGTGGCTACAGGATCATCCATTTCTTCCCCAGTCAGACTTCCCCGATGTTACACCATTTACACCGGACACGACAAAATACAATGAGGTTCTATTGATTATAATCAGTGACGCTTGTCTACACTGGATGCGGCGCGATGTGACAACTGTCGCGTCCGGTGTAGACACGGTGTTACTTGACTCTCTGTGACTCGAAGTTTGTTAGTGTTTGTTGGGGTAGTGTGAACATGACAGTTATTTTTCATAAAATTCTAAATCCAACAGCCAACTTGATTGTTGGCGTTTGTTGGCATTTGTCTGTGCGGTGTGAATTGGCCTTTAGAGACATGAGCGCGATGGTCAAATACATGTCCAGTGCATGTAAAAAAACAAAAACAAAAAAAGATTTGCGATTGCCTTTACACTGCTGATAAATATGGAAAATTGTGTGTGTGTGTGTGTGTGTGTGTGAAGGAGTGAGCGTAGTAAAGCTGGACAGATGTTACGCAACATTTGGATGCTTCTGGGATTTCCTAGGGCATGTGAAGGCAAGCCTGAATGAATTTGGTGGTCTAGTGTGATGGTGAGAGTGAACTGCTCCATGAACCGCGATGACCTGATTTTTCCACCTCACGTCTGTGCTATTTTTACACCGGGGCAGTATTATGGAAAATACTACATGCTGTGGAATAAAAAATATAAGCTTATTTCAAAAAATAGAAGGAATGGAATGAATGTTGACTACATTTAAATCTAAAACACACAGATATGCTGTGTTGGCAGACTTTATCTGAGCCAGTTTCATGAGTCTTAGGTTGCAGAAGATAGCATGCTTTCCAGATTATTTCTTCATGGGGCTCTGATAACTAAAAGCCCTTTTCTCACTTTCACTTCTGATTGTGGGAAATGATAATCAGCGATAGCTGGTCTTACTATAGCTGTCCACAATCGTACACCCCCTTCTTAAAAGATTTTATCAGTTATCTGTATAAATCAAGGCTGGATTTCAAACAGGACAATCACCAAATATTAGTAATGTATTTCTGGAAGGTGTAATGTTCATGATTGCATTATCTCGTTCATTGGTGGGTGGGTGGGGGGGTCGGGTCTAGGGATCGCGATCGCCCCCCCTTGCCATGGGCCGCTGTTACTCTGTTCCAATATTACCCCCTGTCCGGCACCCCTGGACTGCCGCATAAAACATAATAAAACAAAAACAACATAAAGTCCAGGCCTGGCCCTCTCTCATCCTTCACTGTCGTTACTCCTCCTTTTATCCTTCCGGAGCTCCTCCATGGGACTCGAGAACGGTGAGTGGCGCAGGTGTCGCTCATTATCATTTACTCCACTGGCCTCGCTCCGTTCCCACGGCTCTCGGCACCACCCCACTCGTCACAGTAGTATTGCATCCTTCATATCTCCAAAGAGTCTTTAGTTTTATCAGATTTCTAAAAGACAGATACAGCTTTACGCTTCTCTACGAAAACAAAAGGACAAATCCTTTTCGAGCAAGTCCTGTGCAGCGCTGCCGACGACTTCCGTAACCCGAGTGAAGCACATTGATAGCCGTGCTCTTGCTCTCGCTCTGGTTGATGTGTGCGCTCACTTTTCCGGGAGAAATGCCCATACAAGGAATTCTGCCCTTTATGACGTCATACAGGGCCATACTCGAAAAAAAAGCTTCCTGAAACTTAAACTAACCCTGAAGGAGTGTGTTTGGCACAGAATTCTCTGTCGTACGTCCAACTAATTTTTTGAAACTTTGGCCATGTTTAGCATGAGAATCCAACTCTTTAACAGTGTAAAGTCAGAATGCATGAAACAGCATTAGAGCCTGCTGTAAAGAAGTTTACTTTAACTAATTTGCTTCTCAAACTGTTGTTTCAACATGACAGCTGACCTGTGAAAATAGACTGTAGAGCAAGACAGTTTATGCTAATGAGTGCTATAGCGCCCCTTGTGGCTGTGGTGAGAATGCACTTCGTACTGCAAAATTATATACCTTGAAGTGACTAGATGTAAATACCATTCCAAAACACTTTTGAATTGGATTGCAATCCAATCATGCAAACCATTTCACAAGGTGTTTGAGACGCATTTCAGACACAAATGAACAAGTGTAAATGCATTTGGTTGTTAAAGCCACATATGTAAATTTTACTCATCTCAAAATGGCAAAAAATAAAAGTGGGGTCTTCAGCAAGCAGATGCACAAATTACCACACATGAAACTCAACATTCGCCAATTGAAGACTGGATTTGTATTTGTTTTACAGAGACACATCTGTGTGACCCTGGACCACAAAACCAGTCATAAGGGTCAATTTTTTAAAATTGAGATTTATACACCAACTCAATACTGTATATTATATATATCATACTGTACATTATTGTTTCTCCTCTATGCCCCGCCTTTCTGAAACGCGTCGATTTTTACAAAGCTCATCGTCTGAAATGATTGGCCAGCTATCTAGTGCATTGTGATTGGCTGAATACCTCAAGCGTGTGACGGAAATGTTACGCCCCTTAACATACTGTGATGCCCTGTCAGGCGGAGCGACGAGACAAAAACATTAAAACCCATTATAAACAAGGCGTTTGTTGCATCCTGTGGGGACATAATTACGGATTATAATGACTTATACTGTCTTTTTACGCATTGTGTTGCATCGCGCCGCGTAAACATAAAACCATGTCTGCATTTGTGATTGGAGAAATGACAAACAAACGCTACCCTACACTGCTCAAAACTCGCGTTTGAATCATCAGTGGCAAATCCTTTAAATGAAAACGTACTTACAGTCTGTGAGTCAGAACAGCCGGCATTATAGTCTACTCTTCCAGGATCAGGAAACAGTCCTCCATAAAATGTGCTGCACACAAATGAATATTTGGGTTGAACTGTTCTGGAACAGTGTTGTAAATACAACTTAACCACTGATTTCTAGTCGTGTCCTCTTTTGGAAGGCCAAACAAAGTAGTTTTGCTTTCACATGGCGGCCTTGAGTGAGCGGAGGCCTGCGGCTAGAGTGAGGAACGGCCGGCGGATTCGAGGAAGGAGCGGCCGGTGGGCTTGCGGCAACCACATGTGACGACCCTGTGCTGGACTCCGCTTTGTCCACGTTGAAAGCCGATCCGGCGATCCACAGCGCGAAGTTGATGGTATTCCCTCAGCGACCAGCATGGATCAGCTCTAGGCATGACGAAGCGGATATCGTCCTCGATATAAGTTACGCCTTCTTTCTTTGTGTGAACATTTGGGCGGCATTATGCAAATCTTCCCACATCGTGACGTAGACATGTGGGGGCGTGTTAGAACGAGCCGTTTTAGGTAGGCGTGGTTGACTCTTAACTTTTATAAAGAATATCTCTTTGGATTTGAGACTTTAGTCTTTGCAAATTTACACATCTTCTTTATGCACCAAGAGCTTGTAACACTCCAAAGAGAAAGGAAAAATTTAAATTGCATCATATGACCCCTTTAATGTCCTAATGATTTTTGGCATAAAAGAAAGACCCATGAAAGAAGACCCATGTATGGGTCATTTTGACCCATTCAATGCATTTTTGGCTATTGCTACAAATATACCCCAGCGACTTAAGACTGGTTTTGTGGTCCAGGGTCACAAATAGGATAGCTATCTGATCAGTAAAAATGCGTCAAGTGATGAAGTCTGAACAGACCCTATGATAATATCATTGACCATTAAAAAAAACCTTATTCGTTGACCATTAGTTCACATATTTGCATAAAATATGTTTCAGGCATTAATATTTGTGGTTCAAATATTTATCATCTGATATAGTTGAAAAAGTGTTTGTGCTGACATATTTGCACAGATTATGTTTTCACAGGCATGGTTTTCAGCTGTTGCAATAAACTTGAAATGGTAAAATATTTTGATTAATTGGCCTTTTAATATCTTAACTTCATTGTAATTCTCTTTCTACAGTTTAGCCCTGCATCCAGAGCGAGTGCTGGTGGCCACAGGACAGGTTGGAAAGGAGCCGTATATCTGTGTGTGGGACTCATATACTGTGCAGACAGTGTCCATATTGAAAGACATGCACACACACGGTATCTCCTGTCTTGCCTTCGACCTTGATGGACAGGTGAGTGTTCTGAGCAATAAGAAAGATTTCACTTTATAGCAAGAAGTTGACATTGTTATGAACTCATAAGATTCATCTCTCAGTATGAAGTGCTGTGAAGTTTATTATTAGTTGTTGAAGTCACATCTGCGAACACACCAACGGTGTGACTCCCACAGTGTGACAGTGTGTGTCAGACTGTATAATTGTGTGTCTGCCGGAGCTGCTGGTTGTCACCTAGACAGAAACAACATGCAAAATCCTCAGTGATAACATCAAATGACAAACTCTGGAACATTGCCAAATTTTACCCTCAACATGAAGCAGCATTGTGAGGTTTGACAATGTCTAGAAGATAATGGCTTTAGAAACTTCCGTCATATACTGATATGTTCTTGCAGCACTTTCTGGTCAACTACACTTCAACATTGTTCAATAAAACGGCTGCACGTGAATTTTCAGAGCTTTTTGAAAAAGCTATTGATGTTGCACTAAGTAAGAACTGCCCTATCTAGACCAAATCAAGCAGTGTTGTATAGCTCGTGTTACTACAGTTAGTTGCAGCCCTTGAAACTGATTGGTCAAACAGCATTCCAAGAGTGCAGATACAAGAGGTCTCACTGCACTGAGACTTTTACTGTTTGTGTCTGTATTTGCATATTTCAGAAATTGAATCATTCATTCAGTCGATTTAAAAACAAAAGTGACTTTATGAGTGCGTCATTGAATTATTCACTTAATCAGTTAGCTCAAAATTCATGATTCATTCAGAAAACAAATTAGGTGCCTGTTTTTATAAATGAGTTAGTGAGTCATTCACTCAAATCAATTTGTTCAAAAATGCTAGTTCATTCAGGAATGAAACAAGGGACTGTGTTTAATTAGTCCTTGAATCATTTTCTCAACTGATTTGTTCAAAAAACACAGCACACAATCGTTCTGCCTCCTTTTTAGGGCTCCAGACTATGACTGAATGGTTGGTCCACTATTTTTCTGCCGGTAGGACAAAATGTTGTTAAAGATCACACTATTGCCAATGCAAAGTTGTGCTACTCTATGATTATGCGCTGCCATTACTTTTTGAGTGAGAAACATCAAGCGGCAAACAAAAAACAGAACGAAACAGCACTATTCATTTGAACTCTAGGGGCCATTTTTCAGTGTCCCCACTGAATCACACTAAACAGGTTACAGATAACTCTGTGAAACATACAGCACAACAGACTATATAAAACACACACACACACAAACACTGCATTCTCAGTCTTATATAAGAAAATGTGAAAGCGCATCTGGTACCGCAGCAGGAAATTAGTATTTCAGCCATTTCAAATCATTACAGTCATTTCAAAATTGCAAAGTTGCTGTATTAACACTGACTGTAACCAGTCAGATTTAGTCAGAAATGTGATATAATTAATTATTTTAAATGTTATTACACTATTATACGACTTATTTACAATAATAATTTTATTATTCAAATACATTTCTGGCAAGTAGTTAGTGTGATATTGATTTAACAACAGCAGGGAGCACGGGGACCTTAACCAGCTTTATTTAATCAAAAACACATATCATACTGTGTAGACAGATGGCAGTGTGTAATGCTTTCAGTGTAAATGTGATTTATTGAATTTGTAACATTGTACAATAGAAGGCTAAAGTAGATGAGAGTTGGGTTACAGTGTCAATTTATCAAAAGCACTCCAACTCACTGGAGGAGATGATAGAGGGATAGAATGGAAAATCGTACCTTGACATTTCACATTTCTTTGCTCACTCTCACTTTATCTGAGATAATTCACCCCTCAGCTCCCCCAGTAGAGCTGAGAAAGTGATTTGCAGAGTTTCAGCAAGAAATTGGCCTCATGATTTATTTCACACTGTCAGATGAAACGGCAAAGAGAGGAGCGGCGAGATGCTCTCCCTCAAAGACCCGGGGTGTCTAAAGCAAAACTTTTCTTCTCAAATTCATCAAAGGTTTAGCATCCCATAATTGACTCAAGGCACTCCGTTTTAGCCCTAGCCAGCGTGGTGCAAGCTTAGAAGAAAACTGATGCATCAGGTTTGATGGGACAGAGGTGGAAAACAGCAAACTCACATCAAAGGGACACTGAACTAATGAGGTCCCCTCAGCAAACACCATTTGGGAAGATTACACATGATTTGTGCACAGTTTGAGAGAAAAATGCAGTTTTGAGAAGCTTCTGGCAATTTAGTTCCAATAGTTGGACGTATACAGATGGTGACAGATTCATATATGTTTTACAATGTTAAAGGCCCCTTGAAGAGCAATAACTATAATAATAACTATATTAACGCCCACACCAATGCACAATAATGAAATAATAGCTTTAAATGCTTAAGCGCTTCAGAGTCGGGTGGATTCTGATTGGCCAATGTTTTTATTTGTCAACAGCTGGAAAAAAAAAGTCCTGAAAGTGATTTTTTCCATCTCGTTCGCATGTGTTTTGTAACCAAGATTGTCTTGCTGCCTTCAACTCATGTCAGAATGATCATAATTTTGAAACAGGTGCACATGAATGCTTGCACAATGTCATAAGCACCAGAGGGAAACTAGAATTTGGGTGTTGGGTGTTTTTAACTACTATGTACTTATATAAAAAAATAAGTACAATGTACTTATTGTGTTCATATTGTATCGCAAAACACTTTTGCTGCTATTGAGGTGGGAAACGGGGAAAGTTAGGGACAGGTTTGGTGGTATGGGTAGGTTTAAGGATGGGTTAAGGTGTAAGGGATGGGTCAACATTTACTTAGCTATCTAAATGGGGACATTCCATAGGCGTAATGGTTTTAATACTGTATAAACTGTATATTCTATTGCCCTACACCAAAACCTACCACTAACAGGAAACTTTTTTACAATTAAAAAAAAACTTGTTTACTTTATTTTTATACCAGTTTTACAAATGAGGACGTCCCCAAAGGGAGGTTTTTGGAGATTTTGTCAGGTTTAGCTCACTTTTGGGTACAAATTTGTCCCCAAAATATGGTTAAGTAGGTACACACACACACACAAACAAACAAACAAACACACACACACCATTACAAACGGCAGACAGGCAGTGTAATGTTTCCTTTGTCTTCTCATTATCTAGTGGACTTTCTTCGGTCCTTTAGTTTCAGTCAGTCTACACAGAGTAACTCATATATTACAATTATACATTGCAAACAGACAGCCATAATCATGTTAGCAAGGAAGGCTTGGATACAGGGAATCTGGGAATGCACTGAAATGAATTTCATTTTGCATAAATTAACACTGCAACTAAAGATGGCACATCCTTGGGGCCAAAACACACATTTGCACACACTTCAGTCAGGGACTTTGTCTTTCATTTTCTTTACTGATTTCTCTGGCTCTGTAACACACACAAGTAGTTCAGACATATTAAATAGTACTTCATTATAAAATTACAGAATTTTCAGCAGCCATTACTCCAGTCTTCAGTGTCACACGATCCTTCAGAAATCAGTCTAACATTCTGATTAGCTTCTCAAGAAACATTTATCATTATCAATGTTTGAAAACAGCTGTGCTGCTTAATTTTTTTATGAAAACCATGATACATTTGTTTCAAGATTATTTGATGAATAGAAAGTTCAAAAGAACAGCATTTATTTGAAGTAGAAATCTTTTGTAACATTATAAATGTCGTTGCTGTCACTTTTGATCAATTTAATACATCCTTCCTGCATTCTCATTTGTACTGCATTTTAGTGCACTAGTGCTGAACAAGCTTTCTGTCTTTGTTAGGAAATGAAAAATAGAGAAATTGTCCAACATAATTTCAACCATAATTTTGAAATTACAGTATTTAAAAGGGCTTGAATTCTGAAAATACCTACTAATATAATAAATCATACTGTTATTGTCTTCCTCTGTTTCATAAAGATATTTGACATATCATGGGACCTGTATCAGCAAAGCAAGCTAGTGAGCTGTGGAGTCAAACATATCAAGGTACTGCCTTTTCTCTTTCTGTATTCATTTATCCTATTCCTATTTTGTTTTTGGCTTCAGATGAGTCTGTAATGAAATACACTTGTAATCTTGGACTTGTGAAAGTCAATGTAAATTGCTGTTTGCACTTCATTGTAGTGAGTTCAGTGGGATATGCATACAAGAATGGAGACAGAATTCACTAAAACATTTGTGAGGAATGGATTTGGAATGGATATCAGTTAACATTAAGCAATAGCCTTCGTTTCAGTGGAAGAGCTAGTTATAACATTTGTTTTTGAGTAATTTGCTTCAGTTAATTGTTTATAATACAACCAGGAACATGTATTAAGAGTAAATGGTCCATTTGATTTCATGTTAGCTTTAATTTCTCAAAAGCTATTCAATATTAAACACATAGTTTGCCTTTTACTGTCACTTAATCAAAGCCCAGTGAGAAATCTTCAGCTACCTTTAAATTGTTGAAGTATAGTGCTGGTCTCCCTCTGTCTTTACTGTGAGATGGTTCAGATGGGTTCAGAGAGTGTTCTAAAGCCACATTGCAGAAGCCCCTTTCCAAAAAATGATCTTGCTGGCTGCCACCTGCATACATGCCTTGTAAGCGGAAGTTCACACATACATCAAACAAAGTCATTTTTTTATAATGCGATTTCCAGCAACACAAACAGTTGTGACCATGAGTTTTGTGGGCAAATGAAAAGTTACACAAATTCGAGTATTAGGGAAAGTATTGGAGGTCACATGATCCTCGTCCTGTGTTACGCTGTAGTCAAGTGTAGGTGAGATAGGGAAGTTAAATAACAAAACTCACAGTGATCACTGACAAAAAGGTCGAATCTATTAAAAAAGTATTTGAAAAAAATTAGGCAGAGATTTGAACCTAGGTCTTGCTCACTAAATGAAAACTTTACTCCCAGACTACTGATTCTTATCATTAAAGGGAGAGTTCACACAAAAATTAAAATTCTGTCAACATTTACTCACTCTCACGTTGTTACGTAACTCACTTTACTTGTAATGTGTTACACCCAACATTGCTTGTAATACTGTTAGTTTGCTAGCTATTTATGTCTAGCCCAATTTTTGGTTTATGAACGCACACTTTGAAGTATTCTTTAAGTAAACTAATAGTTTTTGTACTGCAAGTATACCTGTAAGATTTCTTTAAGGGAATTTAACATCATAATTATAGTTTACAGACTTTCAGTCATCTTCAAAACACAAATGAAGATATTTTTAATATTCTCTCATCATTTTTGTCCATCCGTTGAAAGTCCACACAACCACAATTTTAAGCTTTTATTCACATATAATAAACATTGATCAATGCACATACTTATAACTCATCAATTATGCTAAACAGAAGCTCAAATGTGCTTGCTTGACATATGAGAACAAACCTCACTGGTTCTGCTTGGTTTTCACACTTCAAACTAGCATGATTGAGCTTGCACTTACCATATTTGATGTGCTTAATGTTTGTGTGTTGATTCATATGGATTACTTTTATGATGTCTTCATGAACATCATTGAAGCTTCTTGATACAGTGCATTCTGGGATTGACTTCTACAAGAAACTGACAATAATAATTTAATTAAAGAAAACAGTTAAGTCAAAATCAGAATTGATTAATAAATGATTATATGTATTTTATCTGCTCCATAAATAATTCTAGATAACTTATCTGAATTGTTTAAATGTGTAGAATCCACATAAGCCACAAGGGCATGCAAATTCGGTCCGTTTTTGGCCAGACAGAAACTGCACACAGGCTGAATGTAAATATAAGTCTTTGTAAATCCACTCACTGACAGCAGGTGGCGCTTATGGAAAAGCTGTTTCCTGTAACCTCCGTGGACAAAGCAGTATTGCGATTAAGAACACTTCCTTTAGGTATTACATGGAGCGAAGATGAAAACAAAATGCCATCAAATCTTTTCTGACGACAGTCAGAACCTTCAGAAGTACATTCATATAATTAATTAATTCATATATTCATTTGTATAATTCCCTTGGCACTCTTTTAAAACCTCCCAGCTTTTCCGCCCTGTTTTCACTCAAAACGAAACTACTCTGTGCTGTGCGCACGTGAGACTGTTACTGAAAACTGTGCTTTATGGTGGACAGTATTTATTTATCGTGAGTTGTTCAAATCACGGTAATCTAATACGGTTTTAATGATAATTAAAATATGAAATGGTAATACTAACTGTTGGAAATTTTATCATGATTTATCGTCAAACCGGTAATCGTTACATCCCTACTTTTAAACTAAAGATAGGGGAGAACACTTTTAGTATACATTTTGCCCTGTTTAATAAATCTGGCCCTGTAAGTATGATGTTAAATTCACTTTAAGAAAACTTACAGGTATACTTGCAGTATAAAGCTATTAATCTAGTAGGTTACCTAAAGAATACTTCAAAGTGTGAAGTAATAGAAAATACTTTCATAAACTACAAAAGTATATAGCTAGTAAACTAACAGTATACTTTACAAGTATACTACTAGTACTTTGATTTTAGTATACTTAAATATTCTTGGAAAATATATTTGAACTTAAATTAACTTGAAGTATACTTTTTTGCTAGGCGTGCTGCTCACAGGGGATTTAATTAACAATTTATACTAACAGACTTCGATATTAGCATGTGGGCATCTGGGTCGTGTGGACATCGCACGACCCAGAGAACTCGCTGTGACCTTCGTCGCTTGGTGCGCAAGGTCAGTGACGTTTCTTAGCTCTTTCAGTATTTCCGGATCGTGACCACCCTTGTGCAGGTCCTTCAGTGTTTTGGCCTGATGAAACTGCAGTAACGCCATAGCGTGTAAGGTGGATACAGCTTCTCCACTAGCCGTATAAGCACCGCCGGTCAGACCAGACGAATGCCTACAGGCCCGGGAGGGGAGCTTAGGACACAACTGCATTGCTACCGACCGCTCCACCAGGGGGATCGCTGTATACCCCCCAGCCGCACCCCCGTCGAGGGTGGTGAGGGAGGAGGAACCAGCAGGTCAGTTTCTGGCAGTAAAAGGTGCCGTCCATGACCTGGTGAGCTCCTCAAGCACCTCCGGGAAGAAAGGCACTGGGGCGGGGCACTGAGAACCAGCGCAAGCCACCCTGAGAAACCAATCGTCCAACCTCAAGGGCTCGGGACGCGGTGGAGGTTTCCACTCTGAGCCCTACCCTCTCTGTGGCACGGGAAAGCATAGCCGACATCTCCGGATCCGATTCAGGCATTGCCACCGTCCCGGAGGGCGGCAGCACAGCCGAATCTTCCTCTCCAGAGAGCTCTCCCTCCGATGCAGTGATCGACATCCGGTCATCGGGAGGAGCACCAAAGGATACCGCTGGTACACTCTTTGAAGAGGGCCCAGCGCATTCCTTTGGCGGCTCAACTGGTTGCGAAGTGCTAGAGGAGCGATGGTCCCCCAAGGGTTGGTTCCCTGAGGGGTTTGACACCACTGTAACCCTCAAACCGCCCGTGCTACTACCCGAAGTAGTCCTCGCCTGGCTGCCGTCAGGACGAACACTAGATCGCGGCAGAGGCAACGGAGCTCCGCCCCCCTTGAGGAAACGGAGCCTGGCCCACAGCTCCGAGATGGTCATCTACCCGCAATGGGAACATGACTCATCCGCGAACACCACCTCAGCATGTTTAATGCCCAGACATGCGAGGAAGCAATCGTGATAATCACCTAGCGCCAGGTAACGACCACATCCAGAAACGCACGGGTGAAACGGCATCTTTAAAAAGTTGATCCATCCAACCAACACAAGAAGCTCCCTAGAGCACACTAGACTCGTCACACACGAAGCAGTTTGGTAGGAGCAGAACAATGTTGTTGCTCGGCTCCGAAGCGAAAAGCTGGTATGCGTTGCACCAGCTGCCTTTTTATGCTCACTCTGTGATCACCGGCAGCTGGATGCAGGACGAACACTAGATCGCGGCAGAGGCAACGGAGCTCCGCCCCCCTTGAGGAAACGGAGCCTGGCCCACAGCTCCGAGATGGTCATCTACCCGCAATGGGAACATGACTCATCCGCGAACACCACCTCAGCATGTTTAATGCCCAGACATGCGAGGAAGCAATCGTGATAATCACCTAGCGCCAGGTAACGACCACATCCAGAAACGCACGGGTGAAACGGCATCTTTAAAAAGTTGATCCATCCAACCAACACAAGAAGCTCCCTAGAGCACACTAGACTCGTCACACACGAAGCAGTTTGGTAGGAGCAGAACAATGTTGTTGCTCGGCTCCGAAGCGAAAAGCTGGTATGCGTTGCACCAGCTGCCTTTTTATGCTCACTCTGTGATCACCGGCAGCTGGATGCAATCATTGCATGCCAATGTGCATTGGCTCGTTTAGTTTACACTCGAAGTGGATTGGTCTCTTTAAGCGAGATCCCAATTTCTTCGGTCACCGACGTGACGTCGAGAGTGACTGACTGAAAGGGAACAGTGTGATACTCAAAAAAAAAAGGTACTGTGCAAACCATAGAAATACTGGGTAAAACATTTAAAACTAAACCTAAAACTAAAACAGAATAAATGATGTATTTAGAATCAACATTTCTGTCAATTGCCAAATCTCAAACTGTTCAACAAATGCTGTTTTCGAATGTTTGTTGGAAGCTTGGTTTCAGGAAACACAGTATCATTGATATGTGTTGGTAATAATGATATTTGCAATCATAATTGGCTAACACTGCTTTTAGTAAATGCATCCCTGTTTAAACATTTAATTGAAAAGACTCAAATGAAGGATTCATATTGGAATCGAACATTGCAGGTTCTGATTCTAAATATGGATTTATAAATAAAATATTATTGAGGCACTGCAGAATTTTACACAAGCTGTCACTGGGACAGTACATTTTTAAAGGGGACATTGGATGTAAAATTCACTTTTACATGGTGTTTGCATATAAATGTGTCTTAGCAGTGTGTGGACACAATCACCTTACAATGCTAAAAGTTATCTTTTTTTAATTCCCAAAAAACCTAAACAGTTTCAATTATCAAGCCATTTTGATTTTCTGAGCAATGTGACGCCCTTCATTTTCATTTTCAGTCTTCATTTTCTCCCGACATCAGAGCCACTTAGGACGTATTGGATTAGTTTTGTTTTTGATGGTAATGTGCCACCGAATACACAAAAAACGGAAGAGAAGGGCGGGGTGAGCAGTAGCTCATTATCATTTAAAGAGACATGCACCGAAACGGCTCGCTGCGAACAGAGCTGTTTTTGACAGCTAAAAAGGGTGTTGTTTTACACTACCATTGAGGAATTTTAACCAAAGTATGTTGCAGACATTTGATGAAGATCCTAAAGAATCATACCAACTTGAAAATGTGCATCCGATGTCCCCTTTAAAACGTACTAATATGTACCATTTAGGTATTAACATGTACACTTTAGATACTAATATGACAATAATTCCGACAATAGCCATTGCTCCTGCTTGTATGCGAGTTTTTGACAGATTTCCTTAGGTTTTTGTCCGGACCCTCCATGCTGCACTCAATCCACTCAACTGCATACAGGTCTCATGATGATGCTCAAAACATGCTCCAGTATGTTTTGACTGGAGCAAACTGAGGCAGCCTGCTCGAATCCCACTCACTGCCTCCCACCACACACAACATAATCATAGCTTCACCCACAGGGGCCAACTAAACCACCATATTTGCAACACGGCCATCACAACAGTGGTTTAGAAATCCGATATGTGACAGGAGACACCACACAATTAGATCTAACTAGATTAACGTATAGTGGGCCACCCTGGACTAATTATCCTTTTCCTTCTCGTAGAATGCTAATTATAGCTGTCTTAGTTACTTAAAGGCTGTTTGACTAGTCTAGATGTGCTGGATTCGGGGTGGCTTGCACACACGAGCAGGAGCGGAAAGATGGGGGAGGACGTGCCTCAGGATGAAGGCAGTCTACCTCTAATGGAGTCTTGGCAGATGAATAGCACTGACTCATTTTGATTATATTAAAGCTTTAATAGAGCACAGACCTGCAGAAACACAGGAGCCTGTGATTCACTGGGGCTCTGAATCTCCCTGACGTAATGCAGCCTTGCTGTCTGGAACTGTACCGTCTGCCCCAGTGCAAGTTTGCTAATGGGCCAGCGACTGCTTTTTCATCTTTTCATTCTCTTTCAAACAGCTTTTTGCCAGATGTCCTGGCTTTCCTGAAAAAAATCCTGCTAAATTTTGAGATTAAAAAAAACAACAACAACTGTGATTCTGTGATTACCAGAAATTCATCATAAAACATGCAATAACAAAGCTTTTTGGTATTGGCATTTTAATGTCTATATACTTAATATTTCAGTTAATAACGGTATATATTTTGAAAAGTACACTTTGAAATAATCTTTTTTTTTTTTTTTTTTTTTTGAATGGAAGCCCGTTTCTTCCACAGAGTAAAAAAAGAAACGCGACTTTTTATCTCACAATTCTGACTTTTTTCTCCCAATTTCGAGTTCATATCACGCAGTTCTAAGAAGAAATTCAGAACTACAAGTTTATATCACACAACTCTGAGAAAAAAGTCAGAACTGTGGGACATTAACTTGCAATTCTGACTTTTTTCTCTTTATAGCAAGCAATCTTTTTTTCCCCTCAGAATTTGACTTTATAACTCACAACTGCAAATTTATATCTCACAATTCTGAGAAAAAAAGTCATAATTGTTTGATGTAAACTCGCAATTGCGAAGAAAAGTCATAATTGTTTGATGTAAACTCGCAATTGCGAGAAAAAAGTCATAATTGTGAGATAAAAAGTAATTACCTTGTTACCTAATTACCTTGTTTTCTTTTTTATTCAGTGGTGGAAACGGACTTCCATAGTTGTTTGATATTACATTTAAAGTTAATACATTTCAGATGTAATAAATTGCAACTTTATCATTACAAATGTAGAATTACCAATATATTTAAATACATGACATATAAGTTTCATATAAATTGCATAAAAGTTCATTTTAGTTTATTATAAATTCTAAGAAAATTTTTATTTTGGCAGTATACTTTAACTATATTTCAAAGACAATAGAAGTAATTATAAAATTAAATATAAAGATGTACTTAAGTCCAACTTATGTGGTCCCAAAAAGCACTGTAAAGTTTAGCAGATTGCATTTAATATCAATTTAAACTATCATACATTTGAGATTAACATGCAATTAAGTGCCCGAAAACATTAAATTCACTTAAGTATATTCTATTGTGTATTATAGTGTAATATTTCAATAATAAGCAATCTTTTTAAAAGTATAGTTATTCTTCACAAGGGTTAATAAATGACTATATTCTGTGTAATCATACAGTGTGCTTTATTAGTGTCCTATAGCCAATCTGCCATAGTTAAAATGTCATTTTCACTTCCACATATATAATTTGTCATGGAATATTTGAAAGTGAATGCAAACATGATTAAGATTTAAGACCAACTTTAAAAATTGTGTTTTTTTTGGTTTTTTTTGGTTGCAATATTACATTCAATTTAAAATGACTTTTCCTGTTTTAAGGAAGGAACTCAGTTATATGAGTTTGGACTGAATAAATAATGACATATTTTTCAGTTTTGGGTGAACTATTCACAATGAGTGTGAAGAACCTAAAAGATAGTTGTTTTCAAATATGATCACATTCAGAATAGAGAGTTCAGAAAACTATATCTGACGGCTCAGGTTTTCTTGCAAGAGGCCACTGAGAATGAGGTTGAGGTCATACACAGAGTTGACCCTGCCATTCTCTCAAACAGGAGCGTGTGACCTCATGAAATAGAGATGTCTCTCCCACACACACACACACACACACACACACACAGCTCAATCAGAATCAATGAGACAATTATTATGCGCTGGCTGTGGGAGCTTTCCGGGTTTGTTCTGAACTAAGATCGTGCCTGTGCATTTTAATGATATGTTTAACAAGTGTTAGCATTAGAATGTTTGCGAGCTTGCGGTGTGTTGTCAACGATCGCAGGGAAATTTATCGAGCTTGTGAAGAGAAGTGCACCTTTATGTATGCTGCCGTGCTTTCGCAATATTAAGCTGTCACACAATTTATTCTGTAAGGCCTTTCAATAGGCTATTTGGTACAATAAATTGAGCAGGAAACAGCAATTGTCAGCTATACAAATCTTTACATGATATATTACCATATGGTCACTGAATTCCACAATAAATCAAAGAACCTGATGATTCATGTTTCAAACCTAAATTATGTGCACCAGCAAGTACTACTATATTACGAGACCAAGGGCCAGATTCACTAAACAGGGCAAATTAGCATGAGACCACATTCCCATAAAAGCGCAGATGTGAAAAGTTCTGTTATTGATCTACTGGCAATGCACAAATTAAAGAACACAGATGCAGCCAAATCAGTTCCATAATGACTGATGCAATCTACCAAGAGCAGTGCAAATTAGCATCTATGATAGTCAAGTCAAGCTCAAAATGGGACATACTTTTTGGGCATTAAATAATGTTGCAAATACCGGTAAAGTGACTACCACAAACCTTTGGAAATCATGTTGTATGATAAATTTAAATACTCTTCTCATATAAATTTTGCATTCGAAAGAAAAACTCTGCTAATGTTTCACTGCGTGTTTTTTAGTAAATCCAGACAGTAGTTTTTTTTAAAGGGGTCATAACTGAGAAATTCCCTTGATCTTTTGACATATAAGAGGTCATTGTACTATAAAAACATCTTGTAAATGTCAGAACTCAAAACTTTCTCATTAGTCTAAAAACAGCTTATATTGAAGCCAATCTGACAAAACGACAGGTTGTGTAATGTGCCACTTTATGACGTAATAGTGTGGCTAAACTCCGCCTCCGCAGAAGAAGATCAACGCCTGCTTCTACATCACTGTCTGTTTGGCCCCGCCCACCGATTCATGCATGTAGTAGGTAAATAAGGCAAAATGCAGGTCTAAGCAGAAACCAAACGATAAAGATGCTCCGAAGACAATAATACACTGTGTGGAGCCGTGTCAATAAAAACTTGGTCACTATTGCTTTATCTGTTATTACAGATCGTTTTAAATGTAGTGCGTATTTATGCGTTTTTAACCTAAATCACAGCAGCACTCATCTATGAAGGATGCAGGCTGTTAAACACACACAACTGTTAGCCAATCATAGCAGTGGGCATTTACTCCCGAGTCTACAATCCACCACGACTATTCAAACAGAGCGTTCTGATGAGGGGGGTCAAAACAGGACAGGAATGAGCCTATTACTTCTAAATTAGGATGTTTTTCTATGTAAAAATCTTGATAACATTATAAGTGGACCTCAGAGAACAGTACAAAATAAAAAACAAAGGCAGTTCATGACCCCTTTAATGGCAAAAGAGGGTTTGTGCTGGTGCAGAAAGTTAGTAAGTATGACCCCATTTATGTTTATGAAACTCACACTTTCTAGATTCATGAATGACTCTCTGTCCTCAGTTTTGGAGTCTTTGTGGGAACGCTCTGACCCCTAAGCGTGGCGTGTTTGGGAAGAATGGAGACCTTCAGACTATCCTCTGCCTGGCCTGTGCGAAAGACGAGATCACATATTCAGGTGCCTTGAATGGAGACATCTATGTCTGGAAGGGAATCAGTTTAATCCGGACAGTTCAAGGGGCTCATGGGGTAAGTGAGGGAACGTTTTCCACAGCGTCACCAGAATGACCTCTGTCCTCTGTGCTATAGATAATATAGCTTTTGATACTCTGCGATCTGTGCAAATGATTGCTTTTGCCAATGTAATAATTAATGTCTGTAAAAAAACAACAACCTTGATACGTGTACACCGTCCTAACCAGACGCGCCGCGGCATGCAATAAAAGGTATTTTTTACATGTTTGATTAGTTTGATAGACGTTTTGTCCTAACTAGCCACAACAGCGACAAGCTGCGGCGGATTCTACAGTATTTTAGAAACGGTTTCTATTTTCTGCAACGTCGCGGCTGGAACAACAACATACAAACTAAGACAATAATAATTTTTAATTATGTGCTTTATTCAATGTTAAAAAGTGTCTAATGTGAGTTAGAATAATATTTTGCGTGACATTTATAGCCATACTAAAATCAACAATAGATATTTGAAAATAAATTAAAGCAAGCATGTACGTGAAAACTGTGAATTCCATGCAAACCAACATGTGTATTCCAAACCAAAGATGGTATCAGTCACTCAGTATGTACTTTTAATAATGTTAAACATAGTTCATATTTAAGAATTAGATAATTAATCCATTTCTTCCAGAGAGAGCCCGCCCACACACACTTCTGACTGATTATGATATTTGATGGATTCTGTCGCATCGCATAGCCATGTCGCGTCTGGTGTGGACAGACTAATTTCTTGTCACTGGAATCTTGTTGCGTCTGGTTAGGACAACCGGGACTTGTCACAGCACTTACATAATATTGCTCTTTTGTTGGTTTGATTGCTTCTATTGTCCACATTTGGTTAAAAGAGTCTGCTAAATGACTAAATGTAAATTGTTACATTTCCAAACAACGAGGACGGTTTAATTGTTTTTATAAAACGGATAGTTCCGGTCCTTGATTCAACCACTTTGTTGGAACCACAACTGTTTCTGAGGAACTACATTGTTTGGTGGAAGAATACTGTTTTTATTTATATCGTTACCCTTTATTTGCTCTGTTTTATTTTGTGAAACCTTACTACGTTTATGGAATAACCATTTTATAAAAGCAATAAGCCCCGTGAAGCCGTGGTTTACAGTGAATTTATAACAGCTAAGGGGGTATAACAACACCCCTTAGCTGTTATAAATTCACTGCAAACCACGGCTTCTTGGGGCTTATTGCTTTAATTTATTTCGTGATGTGAACCCTTTAAGATCTGCAAATCCTTTTCAACTTTATTTGACCCTTAGTGCCAGCACTGCAGTGAAAGTTTGAGACTTTCGATTCTCTAATTGCTTTGGTTGTCAGGGTTGTTCAGCCTCTCAGAGCCTGTGTGTGTGTGTGTGTGTGTGTGTGTGTGTGTGTGTATGTGTGTGTGTAGTCTGGTATTTTCAGCATGAATGCATGTGAAGAAGGCTTTGCCACTGGAGGCAGGGATGGCTGCATCCGGTTATGGGACCTGAACTTCAAACCCATCACCGTCATTGACCTCAGGGAAACAGACCAGGGATATAAGGGTGAGTCACAGCCTCTACAAACTCCCAGAATGCATTACTCTACACTGACATGTATTTTGTTTGATCCATTAAGTTGCCACTTATCTTTTGTTGTTAAATGTCAGGATCCCACAATGCAAAAGTCCTTTGTCTCTAACGGAGCTCTATCTCTTTTCTTCTTTTACTTTCTTTTCCTCTGACTCATCAGTAGCTAGAGGTGAAAATTCAAGAGGTGCGTTGTAGTGGTCAGTGTTCTTTATGCAGGCTGTCCGCCCTGTGTTATATCCATAGCTCTTACCCCTGTTTGTCACCGATCCCAGATGTCTATATGTATTATCAAGCACCCAAGCACCCTCTCCATCCTTGACGGTCTACAGTGTACATCCTTCAGTATGTTCCAGGATCATGTCTGTTTACTTCCATAATTCCTTTAATTTGCTTACTAAGTGTTTATGCGATGGATCTGTGCAGGCCTGTCAGTGCGGAGCGTGTGCTGGAGAGGGGATCACATTCTGGTGGGCACGCAGGACAGTGAGATTTTTGAGGTGGTGGTGCACGATCGCACCAAGCCCTTCCTTATCATGCAGGGTCATTGTGAGGGTGAGCTGTGGGCCTTGGCGGTTCATCCTACCAAACCTCTTGCCATGACCGGCAGTGACGATCGCTCTGTTCGGTAAGAGACGAAAATAAACTAATACCACATTTGAATCACTCAGAATTACAAAAGATCTCTTTAATAGCTCAGTTGTTTTTCTAATATAAAAAAATGGGTTAAATGGAGAACAAACTGAGAACCCTTGTGAAAAAGAAGTGCACTTTAAAAAAAGCATACTTTTAAAAACAGCATTCATTACTGAAATAATATAACTTGGAAAAATACACTTAAGTGCAAACTGTTAATTGCAATTAAATGAACATGTAATATAGTTTAAATTGTTAGTAAATGCAGTTAGCTGCATTTTTGACCCACTTAAGTCGGACATAAGTTCATCTCTATTTGTAATCTATTGTCTTTGAAATATGGTTTAAGTGTACTGCCAAATGTACTGATAAGCATTTTCATTCAAATTAATTTTACTTTTAACTTTTTTCATTTCATTTTAACTTTTAATTTGACATTATTACACAGTGCACTTTTTAAAGCATCCTTAAGTGTGTTAAGAAACAGTCATGAAAGAACTCTTAACTACGCTTAAGTGCCTTTTTATTTAATTAATATTTTATTATCTGCAAGTACAGCTTTTTAAAAATATATTTTTAAGAATTGAAGTACACTACAAGTCCACATCCAATGCTCTACAGTTAAGCACTAGGGTTATTAAAATTAGCTAAAAGTAAAACTAAAACCATACATTTTTTTTACAAATTGTTAACTGAAATAAAATATTTTTAAAAATTAAACTCGTTTTATTTTAGCTAGCTGTCAAGGAAATAAAAACGAGTGAAAACTATATAGACAAAAATAAATAGCCCTAATAAAATGTCAAAAAACACACAACAAAACGACTAAAACTTAACTAAAAATTACTACTAACTAAAATTTAAATGAGAATGAAAACTATTAATAAAAACTATAGTAGTATCTTAATCATACTACAATTAGACTGTTAACCGCACTTCATTTTCACAAGGAATTACTTGTGCAGTTTTGTTTCGTCCTGCTAGTTGCACAGAAAATTGACAGTAATTGACATTATACACTTCATGTGTCATGAGCTATAATGAAACCTCTGAGCAATAAGAGTTTTCCTCAGTGAGTGTATTAAGCTCAGATTAGATAAAGACTATTAAGAACATGATCTTTAATGTTCAGTGCTTTAATTTGTGTATCTTTATGGGTCATTACTTCCTCTTTTTCTCTTCGAATTGTAGGATCTGGAGTCTGGTAGATCACGCGCTAATAGCACGCTGCAACATGGAGGAGCCTATACGCTGTGCTGCTGTTAGTACGGATGGTATCCACCTCGCTCTGGGAATGAAAGACGGATCCTTCACAGTGCTGAGAGTCAGGTGAAACACCCAGACAAAACAGAGCAGAACAGGACTGTCTAGAGCAGGAATACTAGAAAAATTTAGCCTACCACAAGCTTATCAAAACTACTTTCACTGCTTATTTAGAGAAACATACAAAATGTGCAGAGCGGGGGGTCGTGAGGACTGGAATTGAGAACCACTGATATAGAGGACCCCTTCACACTGTGTGTCAAGGTTAATAAATACTCAAAAACAATTTGACAATTTTTTGACAGACAGTGTTATTTTAACCCATTTAATCCCAACTTTTGCCCAGACATGAACATATCCAATTAATGTGTCCATTAGTAACCCATAAGCAATAAATATTATAATAATTTTTGGAATTTTTATGGAAAAGTATTTGTGTTTTATGGTCGATCTCGATTGTGTCCGGTGGGATAATGTGTATACTGAATTAACATGTTGCAGTCATCAAAATTCTTATATATCTCAGCCCAGCAATTTAAAACTCTGTTTCATCACATTCTAGGGTTACTATTGTGCATAAAAACCCGTATACAACACTAATAGGAATACTGAGATAAAATAAAAATTTTTTTTTACTTTATTGTAAGGTATATCATAGAATTGTTGTATTAGTGAAACCAGTATTAAAACGTCAATACTGTAACTTTTTTGTAACATTAGAATTTTTTATTTAGTGCAGTATTCACTGTCAAGTCAAGTCAAGTCACCTTTATTTATATAGCGCTTTTAACAATACAGATTGTGACAAAGCAACTGAACAGCATTAATTAGGAAAATAGTGTCAATAATGCAAAATGTCAATAGTAAACACTCATTTTTCAGTTAAAGACAGTTCATCATTGAATTCAGTGATGTCAACATCCAGCTTAGTTCAGTTTAAATAATATCTTTGCAATCATGTCAACGATAACGCTGGAAATGAAGTGTCCCCAACTAAGCAAGCCAGAGGCGACAGCGGCAAGGAACCAAAACTCCATCGGTGACAGAATGGAGAAAAAACCTTGGGAGAAACCAGGCTCAGTCGGGGGGCCAGTTCTCCTCTGACCAGACGAACCAGCAGTACAGAAAAATCAATATAAGACGTAATAAAACAGACGATGAATAATATGAACAGCAATTATTATATGATGCAATCAAACTTATAGCAAAAGGTGGTAGTTCTGTATGTTGTTTCAGGGTTGGCATCATCTGAGGTCCTCTGAGGAGTTGAATCATCTCTTCTCAGGTGTTCTGGATCCAGACTGAAGCTTGTGTAAATCCTAGTTACCACGGGATGTTAATCCCGTGGCAAAAGACCAAAAAACAAATACAAACATAATTAGCGTAGCTGCTGTTCCAACCAAGCAAAAATGATTTGTTTAACCCAAACTACCAAACTAAAATGTGCATTTGATTAGATATAACTGCAGTAAAAGATTATGACTGCAGTAAAAGATTATGAGATGCATTATTTGAATGCTTGGCCAAAGAGATGTGTCTTTAATCTAGATTTAAACAGAGAGAGTGTGTCTGAACCCCGAACGTTATCAGGAAGGCTATTCCAGAGTTTGGGAGCCAAATGCGAAAAAGCTCTACCTCCTTTAGTGGACTTTGATATCCTAGGTACTACCAAAAGTCCAGAATTTTGCGACCTTAGGGAGCGTGATGAATTGTAGCGTGGTAGAAGACTAGTTAGGTACGCAGGAGCTAACCCATTAAGGGCCTTATAGGCAAGTAATAATATTTTGTAACTGATACGGAACTTAACAGGTAGCCAGTGCAGAGACTGTAAAATTGGGGTAATATGATCATATTTTCTTGACCTGGTAAGGACTCTAGCCGCTGCATTTTGGACTACCTGTAGCTTGTTTATTGAAGATGCAGGACAACCACCTAGAAGTGCATTACAATAGTCCAGTCTAGAGGTCATGAATGCATGAACTAGCTTTTCTGCATCAGAAACAGGTATCATGTTTCGTAACTTGGCAATGTTTCTAAGATGGAAGAATGCCGTTTTTGTAACATGGGAAATATGATTTTCAAAAGACAAGTTGCTATCTAATATAACACCCAGATTTTTGACTGTAGAGGAAGTAACCGTACATCCGTCTAGTTGCAAATTGTAATCCACAAGATTCGGCGTACTGTCTTTTGGTCCAATAAGTAATATCTCTGTCTTATCCGAATTTAATAGGAGAAAATTATTGGTCATCCATTCTTTTACATTTTTAACACACTCCGTTAGCTTAGATAATTTAGAAGTTTCATCTGGTCTTGTTGAGATATATAGTTGAGTATCATCGGCATAACAGTGGAAACTAATCCCGTATTTCCTAATAATATTACCAAGTGGCAACATGTATATCGAAAATAGCAGAGGACCTAGGACAGATCCTTGTGGCACTCCATATTTTACTGGTGATAATTGAGATGACTCCCCATTTAAATGAACAAGGTGGTAGCGATCGGACAGATAGGATCTAAACCATCTTAAAGCCTGCCCTTGAATACCTGTATAGTTTTGTAATCGATCTATCAGTATGTCATGATCTATAGTATCGAATGCAGCACTAAGATCAAGTAAAACTAGCAATGAGACACAGCCTTGGTCTGACGCAAGAAGCAAGTCATTTGTAATTTTAACAAGTGCAGTTTCTGTGCTATGGTGGGGCCTGAAACCTGACTGAAATTCTTCATAGAGATAATTTTTTTGCAGGAAGGAGCACAATTGAGCAGACACAACTTTTTCAAAAATTTTAGACATAAAAGGAAGATTTGAGATGGGTCTGTAATTAGCCAGTTCACTAGGATCTAGTTGTGGTTTCTTAATAAGAGGCTTAATAACCGCCAGCTTGAATGGTTTTGGGACGTGACCTAAAGACAACGACGAGTTAATAATATTGAGAAGCGGTTCTTCTGCTACAGGTAACAACTCTTTCAGTAATTTAGTGGGTACAGGATCTAACAGGCATGTTGTTGGTTTAGATGCAGTAATAAGTTTATTTAGCTCTTCCTGTCCTATAGCTGTAAAGCACTGCAGTTTATCTTTTGGTGCGATGAATGAAGCTAAAGTATTATACGCTGTAGAATCTACATTTGTTATTGTATTTCTGATGTTATCTATTTTATCAGTGAAGAAATTCATAAAGTCATTACTATTAAACTGTGAGGGAATATTTAGATCGGGTGGCGTCTGGTTATTTGTTAATCTAGCCACTGTGCTAAATAAAAACCTAGGATTGTTTTGGTTATTTTCTATGAGTTTGTGGATATGCTCGGCCCTGGCAGCTTTTAGAGCCTGTCTATAGCTGGACATACTGTTTTTCCACGCAATTATAAAATCTTCCAAGTTAGTTTTTCTCCATTTGCGCTCAAGACTACGAGTTTTTTTCTTGAGAGAATGGGTATTACTGTTGTACCATGGCGCAGTACGTTTTTCTCTAACCTTTTTCAATTTGATGGGGGCAACAGCTTCTAATGTATTAGAGAAGATAGTGCCCATGTTGCTAGTCATTTCGTCTAGTTCATGTGTACTTATGGGTACACAGAGCAGTTGAGATAAATCAGGCAGGTTATTTGTGAATCTGTCTCTGGTGGCTGGAACAATAGTTCTGCCCGGACGATAACGCAGAGCCATATAGTTAATATCAGTAATACGCAGCATGCACGATACAAGGAAATGGTCAGTAACATCATCACTTTGAGGTACGATATCTATATCAGTAAGATCAATTCCATGCGATATAATTAAATCTAGCGTATGATTAAAACGATGAGTGGGCGATTGTGTCCGGTGGGATAATGTGTATACTGAATTAACATGTTGCAGTCATCAAAATTCTTATATATCTCAGCCCAGCAATTTAAAACTCTGTTTCATCACATTCTAGGGTTACTATTGTGCATAAAAACCCGTATACAACACTAATAGGAATACTGAGATAAAATAAAAAAATTTTTTTACTTTATTGTAAGGTATATCATAGAATTGTTGTATTAGTGAAACCAGTATTAAAACGTCAATACTGTAACTTTTTTGTAACATTAGAATTTTTTATTTAGTGCAGTATTCACTGTCACTCTGCACTTTCTAAAAGTGACCCCTGAGCTGTGCAGTTTGAGTATCCCTGGTCTAAAGCAACCTAAAATAAGTCAAATATGCAAATCTGTTAGACCTGTACTCATTTTGCAGGGATATGACTGAGGTGGTCCACATTAAGGACCGTAAAGAGGCCATCCATGAACTGAAGTATTCTCCTGACGGAGCGCACCTAGCTGTGGGCTCTAACGATAACTCGGTGGACATCTACGGCGTTGTGCAGCGCTATAAGAAGGCGGGCGAATGCGTGGGCTCCAGCAGCTTCATCACACACATGGATTGGTCCACTGACAGCAAGTATCTACAGACCAATGACGGCAATGGTCGGCGGCTCTTCTACAGGATGCCCAGTAAGAGCTCTGTACTCTCTTTGAAGCAGGTTTTCCTAGTATTTATGGATAATATAATTCCGACTGATTGTGGTTTTGCTTGTGTTTAGGTGGCAAGGAAGTGACCAACAGAGAAGAACTGAAGCTTGTCCAGTGGTCTTCATGGACTTGTGTCCTCGGGTCGGAGGTGAACGGGATCTGGCCTAAATACTCTGATATCAATGACATCAACTCTGTAGAAGCCAACTTCAATAGTCAAGTTTTAGTTACAGCAGACGATTATGGATTAGTTAAATTGTTTCGGTACCCATGTGTAAGAAAAGGTGGGTTCACTTTTATTCTTGGTCTCGTTTTTGTTAATGACATTCTATATTCTATTCTATTTATTGTATCCATTCTATTTATGCTTACTCGGTTTGTCTTTTTTCCATCTTTAGGTGCTAAGTTTAAAAAGTATTTAGGACACTCAGCACACATAACCAATGTCAGATGGTCACATGATTATCAATGGGTGATTACTATTGGTGGAGCCGACCACTCAGTGTTCCAGTGGAAGTTTGTCCCTGAAAGGAAGTCAAAAGAAACTCTTCATTTAGCTCCTCAAGGTATGAACCACATTCTTAAGGCCTTTCCACACTGAGCACGATGCGAAAAAGCGAGGCGAATTGCCGACGAACGGTGCTTTCACACCGAACGCGAAATGATTGTTCGCCTTCTGCTAATTCACGCCTGCACGCTAGGTGGCGCCAACCAACAATGCATTTTTCCTCAGATATGTATCTCGTAAATGATTTAACATCATCCGCTGCTCAATATACAGCATTACATTTAGATAAACAAGGTTCTACACCAGAAACAAACTATCTATAATGCTTACAAGAATAGGCTGCATCCTAAAATATAATTAGAAGTACAATTAGCATCAAGCTACACTTGAAAATGTATGTAATTATTAATGTATTTTCTTACCCACTTTAAACCATCATCGAGTGCTTGTAATAACTTCCAAATGTGATCCATAGTTGATTTTGATTAATAAGCAGACACATGCACTCTTTGTATGTTCAATAACGCTACACTGCTAATATTGGTCATAAACATCCATTATTGCTATAAAAATACCATGAGCTGCATACAAAACACGTACAGAAAATATATCTTCATAGTCATATGTCTATTTGCTTTAATATTTCATGTGTAGAAAAAGAGTGAACGTGCTCTGACTCATAACACTCGTGCACGTGGAAGAAAACGGACAGTGCTCTACAGATCACATAATTCAGAGGATAGTTAATAGAAATGTTATTCTGTATAAAGAACATGTGAGAATAGATCTGTTCTCAAATACCAACGATATCAAGAACTCATTATCCACTCTCTTCTCTTATCCGGGATACTCTTCTTCTGTGTTTGTTTACACTGTAACAGAGCCAGAATATATAAACTTGCACTTAAGTATGTAATTTCTGTTATTAGTACTCTTTTTAAAAGTATGCTGAGGTTAAGTATGCTAAGAAAAAGTAGAAAACTGCAGTTACGCTGTTTAAAGGGTATTTTTTGAAAATATATGTTAAAGGGGTCCTATTATGCTCTTTTATAAAATCTTGTTTTGGGGGTGTACTAGAACATGCTCTCATGCTTGGTTCGAAAAACGCATTATTTTTCACATAATTTACATTATTACAAC